CTCGAAGTGAGCGGAGAGCATTGTGTGGAAAGTGGGCGCTTACGTCATAAACTCAGTGAAAGGAGTTTATCAGATGCTAAGTTATTTTTAATAGATGGAGCTTCACTTTCTCCGCGACGGCAAAAATCGGAAATTTACTAATACAGGGGTTGGAAAGTGAAGCTTTTAAATAACCATAAATCTCTCCGTCGTTCCAGTTAATGTCATACTTCTGCTTGCTTCGAACTTGCGCTTAGTGAAAGCAATAAAGGCATTCTAATGCGGCGTTTTGTTCAAACATGTAATTCAGTTGCTACGACCATTAAAGGCGTTCGTGCTCAAGGCCTACTACCAGATATCAATCATAATTACAAACGTGTAAAAAATGACTATTAAGGGGTCGGGTGAAAGTTTCAGGCGAGTTCATTCATTTAGCGGCTTTATCATTCACGATACCTTATTAAATATTGACACACATTAAAACACAAACACAAAAGCCTACTTTCGTAGTAACGACGCATACGAAAATCCTCAAGGTCGTTCGACGCCAACTCAGACGTTTTCCCTACATTTGCATAGTAAATGTGTCAAGTAATCAACTCAAACACGTTCATAAATAAATAAACCACAAAACACTCCCCATCATGTTCTAGTGCAAATTGTTTCAGGAAAACAAACACGAAGTGAGAAACTCGCACTCTCGGTGATCATTTAGACATACCTTAAGTGAATTTTTGTTCATGGCAGGAATTCCTCTAGACGGAATAATTTAGATAATGTAAGCGAAGAACTCTTTTAGAAAAATAGCATAAATTCCTGCTGCTTTTTCGAACACGTGAACAATTTTCCTGATCTTGCACCGTAATGTGGAGTTTGGAGTTGTTATCCTAATTGTCTTGTTTTCGATGTTCGGGAAAGAGCATTGTTATCGCTATATTTCGGCAAAGAGAACTTAAAACTTCCGGCTTGATGCAGTGCGAATTCCATTACCTATTCACCGAGCTGGTTGTGCGCGAAGTTCAGATTTGTCAGTCGTAATTGTTTCAAGCGCCAGTTTAACATCCGAACTAATTCCGCCCGACTTCACTTGGGAAATTAACATTTTCTGATTTTTACTTACCGTCGAAATATTTTTTTCGACCGGTACGCCGCCGTGACCTTGAGAAACGCCCGTTTTCTATCCGGTTCGGCTAAAAATGCCCCTTTTCTACTTTTTGCTTCGACGATAAAAATTCATTAGGTAATTATTTTTATGATACATCTGCGATGTATGTCGCTAGGGAACAAAAGCGTATGCAAATAGGTCGTTATTGTAATTAGTTAAACCTGTGGCCATGTAAATGGTAATAGTGGGCGAATCAAGTAATTATACAACTAGCGGCACGGCGACCTCTCCACTCCGCTCTTGTGCAAATACAATCATTCATCTCCCGTTCACTCAAATGAAGCTATTAAAAACATCCTATCGGCTGGAAAAAGCGCAGTGATACCGTTGTGTACACTGCCGTAATGCAAATTCTTCCATAAACAGTAACATCATACCGAGCAAGTTTGTTTTAATGAAAACTGGACGAAAACAAATAGGGATCGTATTTTGTTGAAACGCAGCCGAAAGGGAAAACTGGATGCTAAAAAAATATTTACGTGTTTAGATTTTAACAAAATGATATCGTCGTCCTGGAGGGATCTCAGTTGTTCATTACTGTGTTCACGTCCAAACGTACGTAATTTAACAAAAATAGCAAGCAAATTGTAGCTTGATGCAAAACTGGTGCAACTGCTGAGCGAGCAACCCGTCCTGTCAAAAATAAATTACGCACTTTTGAAACCAAGTGCAGAGATTACACAAAAAACAGAAATGGGCTTATTTTTCAATCGTTCACACCTACACCCCTCACTTTTGCTCTGGATTTCATTTCAAAGCGAAGAATTTTCCGAGTATCAAAATTTCCGTTTCTGGCGTTCTGATCGATGCCTCTTTAATGGTCGCCCAGAAAGCAAACCTGCAATTTCGGTTAATCAGTTCGCTTTTAAAGCAATACCTGCCTCAGTGTTCGAAATTCCCCTCAGCCGGAATTTTCCGTCTCGCTGCCGATCTCGGAATTTTCCTCAGATAACAAAGACATCGCACCGAACTTTGACGATAGTTTTCTTCCCTCACTACTTTTATTCGGCTTTTTCAGTTCGCGTCGAACTCGGCATTAAAGCCGCCCTCCTACCTGAGCTTAAAGTCAGACGTTACGTTCCTCCGACTAATTAAAATTAATCGCCACTGCAAATACCTAATTATCCCCGCCTTTTATTTAAATTTATCCCCGCAGGTAATCCACGCACGCCGCCACTAAACCGCAAACGACCTAATTGTAGTTTCACGGTCGGCATTGTTTAAAGAATTTAATATATCGCCGGTTCCCGTACAAAAGATCTTTGTTTTTGCCCTCGTAGATATTCTCTAGTGGCATGCCGAACAGAAACTTGAGCAATTTGCAAGTTCGCAACGTAGACACGTCGGAGAGCGCCGCCGCCGCTTTCTTCCCCCAAACTCCCAGACAAACGGTTACACATCATAAGTTGCGGAATGTCTTTAAACTCCTTTACCTACATCCACTTATGCGCCAGCAACATTCCACTTACGACTAAATGCTCTTCCTATCACAAACTCGCTCTACGTCAGATTCCAGATAGGAAATAAGGCTTTTATTGCGGGAAATCTTCCGGTGAATAATGACAGAGGTAAAGGGGTTAATTAATTTTATTTAGCACGCAAACACGGATACGCATCTCATCTATACCTCGTCAACCGTGATGAATTGTTGTCGACAACAATTTCCGCAAGCGTGTAGAAATTCCTCCTCGGGGGAGTTTTTGCCCTGCGATGGCGTTAAATGACTTAAGCCACCCAATATACTGTAGCTCTCGGGGCGAGCTAGAAGTAGGGTGTGCTTATTGTTCGGAGCTTGATTGATATAGGCTCAAGAGTATCGGTCGCGCAACATAAACACCGGTCTTGTTTCTGTGGATGAGGCTGCAAAGGGGTGTTTTTCCACCTACAAACTGTGATTGTTAGTTCTTAAGTGCGAATCCCTCGAGGCTAAACAAAGGACAAGCCTGTTATTCCATCGGCCGATTAGTAGTATTTACCGAGATTTAATAGACCTAAGCTCCTTGCTTCGAAATCTGCAGGGTATTCTTGTTCAGGCATCTAAATTTTATATGGAGGGGTTTAAACTATAACCCTTCGAGAACAATTTGAATAAGAAATTATAGTTTGCGCGGTTGGAACTTACGGCGCTCTTCATAAATGAATACATAAAGGTGACGTGTGAGCTTCCTCCGATGTTGCTTAGAGTGTGTTTTCAGCCGCCGAGCGGCGGCGTGATTAATCAGAAAAGAATTATCTCCGCCTCATTTCCATGTAAACAATCTCGCCGACCTAGCACTTTGTAAACTTTATCAAGGAAACACGGAGGTAAGCAAAGACTTCCTCTGTTTGGAAATTCCGAACTTAAGAAGGTCACCGGAACGCTGAAAGGAAGCCAGAAATAGAAAAGTCGAGCTCGGAAAAATTATCGTTTGCAAATTATATCCGGAGATAGATTAATTCGGCGACAGGAATTGATTTCCGTCCAATTATTTTTTTTCTTTTGGGGAGAGCCCGAGATGGTATTATGTATAAAGAAAGAAAAAGAATGTGATAATAATTCCCAACGATAACGATCACTTTTATTAGCATCGCGATCATTAGTGTCATTATTCATCCAATACAAAACAATCCCTCAATGTTCAACCGCAATACTACTTGTCTTCTATTTGCAAGATTGAATGTGTGCGAATAAAAAATCGTTGTGCTCAGCGTAATCGAACAGCCGATTATATAATTACACCAAGAAAAACCCGTCTTGTCTTGAAGCACGATGTTTTGTGATGTTTCGGTTCGTGAAAGCTCCCGTAATTTGAGTTATCGTCGAACATCTAGGGCCGCAGAGGTGAAAAACTCCCCTACCTGCGGACATAAAGACGTACGGATTATCATAAGGCTAAGCGCGCTTTCCCCCTTCGGCACGCACAAATTTTCCGTCGAGTTCGGAGAATTAAATTACGACTTTAAGAGAGTTCGCACAATTCCGAGCAAACAGCGTGTATGTAACTCCGTACATTAGGAGAATGCTAATGAAATATCTTTATTTATAGTATCGCCTCTTGTTTAACAGTCGTCGGGGGAGGTTTACTCGCCCCCGGGTTTGCTTAATTGTGGCACGATTAAGTGTGTAATCTCGGAGACGTTTCATGCAACTGGCGATGGCAGCCCTCTCCTAGGAACGTTCACACATTGCCCATCAATAATCTCAATGACAACCTAATTATATCCCTTGTCAGCGAGCAATTCCAGCAGGAATGCCTGCGAGGGATTGCTGGAACTATATTGAATATAGTACCAGCGAAAGTTGTGCCACTTTTAAGCGCCCAACTCCCGACACGTCTCCATTTTATTGCACGTGGAGTTATAATGAAATTCGGCGTTCTTATGTAAAACGACTCCGAGAGCCCAAATAACAGAAATTTTGTTGGTTTTTTATAACGCCGAAGAGATAAAAAAGTACAATATGTATCACTTAAGACTTTTTTTTCTCGCAGGCGCCATCTTGAATCTTTATGACTCTTAAAATAGCCAATAACTTTTTTATTACGCGTACCACCGTAATGAAATTCGGTAGTCGCGCGGTGAGCGAGTTAGAAAAATTGGAATTTTGGCGGAGTGGCGTTTATTAAATGAGCAAAAGGATATAGACGAGATCTGATTTACTTTTTCATAGGCCTCGACAGCGCCCGCTTAAATCGCTTCAGTTACGTATTAAACCGAGTCTCCCCTTTAAGCTCGGAACAATGGCGTCGGCGAACTTTTCCCAGAGATATATGTGAATTTTCCGCGAGACACTCTGTACAGATTTCCGTTCGCTGAATATTCGTTTCCACTACCCTGTCGCATTTTAGGCCACTTAATCCCTTTGTTTTCTTTTCAGGCTTCCTCAACGCAAACACAGATCCGTACTCCCGTTCTCCGGCCAACTACGGCCTCATGGACCAAATTGCCGCCCTCCACTGGATACAGGAAAACATCGCTGTATTTGGCGGAGATCCAACTAACGTTACCGTAGTAGGCCACGGAACCGGAGCGGCTTGCGTCAACTTCCTGTTAACGTCCAGCGCAGTTCCTGAAGGTATGTTTGAGTGTCGGAAGGGTTTTTATCTTGAAATACTGTAGCGGAGAAAACCGCAAAAAACAACCACAATTAAACGTCCCATCGATCGCGGGCTTGCAATTTTTTCGACGAAATTGCTCCTTCCGGAGGCTTGGGTCCAAAAGCGAGTATAAATATCTCATGGCGACGTGAAGTTTTAATCATCTCAATTTTTTCCTGAGGGTTTAGCTGGAAACTCAAAGGAAATGAAGACCCAAGTGATGAACTCAAACGTGTGCCTAAACATGACAGCGTAGCTGTTGAAACACGTCGACAACGTGTTTGAGTGTGTTCTAACCTAAAAATCTGCGAATCGTGACATCTCCCCCGGAACTCACGGGTCAATAACTCCCCCGCTTATTCCACCTGCATGGCTGTTTACATTTTACGAGAAATTTATGTATAAGCGAATTAAATAGACGATCGTTAATCCTGCGAAACAACATTAATCTTTGACCTTTTCCCCGCTACCCGCATTTACATAATTATATGGATATTCCTTAAAAATATGCAAACGGGTTTTTTGCAACACATTCGCCGGGAAAACGAAGTGATTGCTTAACGGCTGCTGGGGTGAAATTATTAGACCTTTACTGACTGGCTCTGCTGTCCATCAATTTGTATGGAACGTGAGAAGTATTTTTATAGAATATTTGTCACGAGGAGCTTAAAGATGAGTCAGTTCGGGTCAAAGAGGTTTGGGAAAGGTAAAAACACCGAAGGAATTCACAAAAAGTTTGACGGGGGAAATATTCACGTCGGATGCGAACACTTGAGAATAAATCTAGTGATAGAAAAGCGAGGAAAGAAGTCTGCGTGGGCCCGCAGTTGATGTGTTTTAGTTCTGCTGAATTAAAATCAGACCCTCGGATTTATCAAAAAAGGATTTTGACTTAATTCGAGAGAACGCTTTATTGGCACTTTTACACCTAATCAAAGTTGGACGTACAAAGTTTCGTACATATTTAAAAACCCAAAGAAAAATTAAGTAAAACTCGAGACTAATCAAGGTTTTAATTTTCCGACAAAAACTTTTAATGATTCCTCCGAGACGTCCTTGGGCGTCTTTCATACGTGAAAAAACAGATCTGGGCTTCCAGTTGCGATAATAAGACAAATTCGTTCTGTTTATTTTTCGATCAACAAACGAAACCATAATTGAGTTTCTTTGTACCGAAGATAAGACAGTTTTTTGCGGCTGCACGCTGTTCAATCTTTCAACATTGTCTTCTTCTTGTAGGAAACCGACGAGGAATTCAGCCAATGTAGCATATACTTTATAATTTATGGCGGCTTTGTAATCCTTGATAGATAACCTCCTTCGAGGACCTACTTGTAAAACAAAGTTCTTATTCCGCGAGCATCAAACCGTCGGAGCGGCCGTTTTGCTCTTTTACAGCGGCGCCGTTAAATTTCGAGACGTATAGAGCTCAATTTTATGTATCAAGAATTTAAAATGCCCTCCTTACACCATCTCCGACTTAAAATTTTACGTGTAGAAATTGCGGAAAAGGTGATTTATTTTCAACTTTGACACGAGCTGGATCGATCGCGCCACTAAATGAAATGATTGGAAAATTTACTTTTTGACGTCTTCGCGGGAGATCGCTTTCCACTGGCAATATATTACACGGTAAAATACAAACCGCATTGACGACATTGATTTCTTTATTACATTATACTGGAACTTAATAGCCTTCTTACGTCGGCCCCGACAAAATCATAATGAACGAAAAGAGGAATTTAAAACAATTTTCCACAAATTTGCTTCAGCGGAGAATTTTTGAGTTCAAAGGAATTCATTTAGCTACATCGGAAAAATAATAGCTTCCGCTTGCGCATGGTGTTATGTTTGGAAAAATTGAAAAGACTTCTTACAGGAGGGAATTGTGTTAGTGCATGAAAAGCGTAATCGCCGAGCGCTGCTCACAAAATAGATGACAACAAATAAAGCAGCCATTCAAGTTTGGTGTAACGAGAGGGCAATTTTCATCCAAGCTTAAGTGCATCCTGGCTTATAAGAGCGATCTTTAAACAGAAATAAAAATAACTTCAGTGCGAAATCAACGGTCTGCAGCCATTCTGACTGGTCTCTTTCGTTTTCTCTACAATCCGAATTAAAAACCAAAAAAAAAAAAAACAAGAATATCATCAATATCAGAAGAAACTACAAAAGAAACACATAACCAGACTAAGATAGAACAGAGATATTAAAAATAAGGCGAGATTCTTGATACAGAGAATAATTCCTATGAGAATAACTCCCTTTTGAACCGATCTGGCAGATTTTAATTTTATGTATAAAAATGGTGGATGCGCCGGGATAAAAATAATACTTTAAAACTGAGTATTTCAATCAAGAATTAGTGGCGTCTAGGCAGCATAAAGAAACAAAAACAAATCTGAGAAAATTTTGAATCGGATAAGGATATCTTGGGGCTAATTTAGACACCTTCAATATTCTACAAAAAAATGGTGGAGACGCCAGGTTAAAGATATACTTTTCTTCAGTGAATAAACAGAAAATTCGGTTTTTTTCTCTAGTCAAACGCCGCCGGTACAAACTACAGCTCGTTCCTTAACCCGGAGCGAATTAATTTTAAGACCTGACCAATGAATATCCTTAACACAGCACTTTTTAAGCCCTTAATCTCATCTCGAATGCAAATTCGCTCGTTCTACATCTAGCCATCGTATTAAAGCCAATATTCTGTTGATCGTGTCGTCTCGTTGGCGGCTCTCCTCATTGCGTCCTTAATTTTTTCCCCCCGACTTGCACTGATTTGAATGTCAATTACTTCATCCGGCATGAATCCGGCATTCACGACGAGCTCCAGTTTTGTCCTCCGCTGGGAAATTTAACTCAAAAATGAAGTTCTGACAAATACCCTACAAATACGCTGCCATTGTGCAAATGACGCCAATAGGGGCGTTACGACGAGGTTTCTTTAATTCGAAGAGATCTGCGTAAATGGCGCGGGGGTCAGCCGTGACAGCTGCCGGTTGCCACACTTCGGTTCCCCCTAATGTAAGGTTGGTTGCATACGCAACCTGAGGATATATATTTCGAGAAAATATTAAACTGCGTCTTTAGAGACTGCGCATAAATCAACGGTAATATGGGCCTATATTCAAGTCGATACCTCCTAAATACGTATCTATATTCAAACCAAATTGCGGTGCGCTATCTGGCGGCAGTAAATCAAACTATGGGCGTCTTGAAGCTCTGCCAACTGCCATTGTCCGTACCCCAGCCTGTAATTGACTTATTGGCCGGAAGTGAACTGACAACGATCGATAAGAAAACGCTCTTTGAAATGCCATCTTCAAGAAGGGCCGATGCTCATTTCAAATTGATTTTTAATGAAGCCGCTCGGACTTCCAAGAGCCGGAGAAGCTTCTTTATAAATTAATGTGCACGATTCGGGTTGGACGAAGGGAGAACTGGCCCCAGAAGGAATTTTCACCTGACACAAATTACCTTAACGAAAAGAAAAAAATCGGGTAATTTTGAGTTTTACGTTACGGAAATATATTTGGCGTTTCACGCTTGAATTTAATTTATTGATAGTTTTATAAAACACCAGCAAAAACACATATACAATGCCACTGACACAAATACAACAAACGTAACGAATTTATAGATCTGAAAATGAATTAATAATTCTAATTGCGTTGATAACATGCCATTAAATCAGTTAAATATATAATGAACTCAAAATAAATAAAACACTATGTTTGCTTCAAATTCCATAATTTTACAAACATGATTAAATTTTCCGCCTCGCCGCTACTCTATAAACCCATCTATCACCTGAATTATAATTTTGTATATTCCGTTTGACGTTTGAAAGAAAACATGTTGATGTGTGAAAATTTATCACTCTCAAACAAGCTGCGTCAAAGAACGTATTCGGGAAAGTGTGTCACCGCCGGCACGTAGACATTAACCTCTATAATAAAAACCCGCCGGAAAAAAATTAAAAATTCGACGCCTGGAAATGAAAACGGCCCTGTTTTCCAATTTATGAAGTCGTTCGCGCGACGACATCTGCTTGCCGAGCAGATTTGACCGAGAAATACCGATCTACACTTAATATTTTAAGAAGAACGGTTTGACGAGCGCTGACTAAGTGGTTCTCGCGGACGTCTGGTAATAATATTTGCAGACGGGCCCGAATCGATTATCTCGCCTTTTTTGCGAAAAAGACAAGAGATTGTGTCCTCTTGTTGTCTCAAAACTTCACTTCTTTTTCGCTGTCGCTTAAATCGGTCCTTTGGTCGTATCTTTTTGATTACTTGCCACTTTTCAATTGTAAATTGCTTTATAATGAACTTTCTGTGAGTTGAGGGGACGTATTTAACCATCTCTCGGTATCTCTTTTATTTTTACGACCTTGTCGTTTATTTTTACGACGGCAATTGTCGACTTTAATAACGTATTATTTTCGAAACCGTCCCCACCGGTGGAAATTAAAAACGATCTTGACTTGAATTATAATTAGCCGGTGCAAGTTAGTTCGCCTGAAAATTGCTGAAATGTGTGTCTGGAGTGCGCGATTCATTTCCTTAATTTCGGCGGACGCGGCGAGGATGCGCCGACCTACATGTTTTAATTATGTAAGCAAAAAGCTTCATTTTTCAGGGTGACGCGAATTCGTTTTTATCCGGACTAATCCGGGCCGCGTCATTAGCGAGACCGGAAAACGTTCGCGCACTGCAATTACGTGGAGAAGCAACACTTCATTGTGTTCTACAACAAACAACAAAAAAATTAATAATTCCCGAAAAGAACTAAACAAATTTGCCAAATCTGGATTGTCAAGCCCGCGATTGAACCTCTCCCGCCGCCACTTCACCTTCCTCCCCCGAAACCGCCGTCCCCGCGCCCATTTCCCGCTGCAAGACAAATGCAAATGTCTCCTTATTGCATCACGCCGACTGCCTCGTCGGTCTTCCGAGAGCAATTCCATTAAAACTCGTCGCTAATGGATAAAATCAACAACGGCCCTCGCGTTTTCCTGGTCGATCGCTCCAATTAACGGCGTTGCAGGTGTGCTGTTCCACCGGGCCATCCTCATGTCGGGATCGGCCCTCTCCCCTTGGGCGTTGATCCAGGAGCCGTCCCGATACGCCGCTCAAGTGGCCATCCACGCGAACTGCTCACCAGAACTGCCACATCCCCACCTGCTCAAGTGCCTTCGAGAGAGACCCCTGGAAACGCTCCTGTCTACGCCCGTCATCGCGCCCGAATTCGCCTTCGCCTTCGGGCCGAGCGTCGACGGGGTTGTCATCGACACGGGAGAACCACCAGGTGAGTCCCAGCAGAACACAAAACAAAAGTTAGTTTGTCGCAGGGAATGCACGTACAATTTTTTCCACGACCAGATACAAATACAGGCTTTTTATAAATGATATTTGTAACCTGTCATTTAAAGCTGTCGTTTTTATTGCTTCAACGTTTTTCAAGTGTGAATTAATTCTCGTTGGTCCAAGCTCAAAACAACAAAACAGTCGTTTTCAAAACTCATTAGAGGCTCACATTAGAGATGTAATTACAAATTTGTTCGAACTGGCAGTGTCAACAAAAGGAAATCTCGTGGAAGATCTTCAGTATCTGAGGAAGTTGTTGATGATTTGAGACGACTTGAGCATAACACGTAAATATCTTTGATAAAATTTCTTTAGTAGTCAGGAGTTCCTATTGCAGCATAAAATTGAACAAGGGGATTAATGAATGGATTACAGAACACTTTTGAAATTAAAAAGAGAGTGAACATGTGTCTTGAACAAAATGGTGAACAGTTTCACTAGTTACCGTGATGTTTAACTGCGATAAATTTGTTTCTTTTTATTGTAATGAATTAGTTTTATTTTTTACAAAGGTATGAATCATTTAGGCAACCAGTTATACAGATGCGTGTGGTATTTATCGTGCGCCCTTGGGCATTTAGTAAGGTCCAAACTGAGAGACGGCACTTGTTCATGACCTACTTTGACGCTATAATCATTTACAGAAACATTTTAATAGTCAAGATATTTATATTTTTAAGATCAAAATACAAATACAAAAGTCAGGGTCACGAGTGAAAATTTTCGGCTCGGTTTTCTCTATTATTCGAAGGGCTATCGCAACAGCAATTGGAGGTTCAGAACCTACGGAAAATTCTCCACTTACTGTCAGTTCTATTAGCGCATATTAAGGAAAAGTTTCGGCGTTTAGTCCAAAGGTAAACCGATTATTCGGCGGAAATTGCGGAATCCACTCGATAATTTTACGGAATAGGCCGCAAACGGGATGGGAGCTGATTGGGTTCAAAGGGACGAACCGTTCGAACGAGAAAATGCTTCGCGATTGATTGTATAGTTGAGAGGTGTTTTATTAACAGACAAGGTATTTAACACCGACATATCAAAAGGTGTTTAGAGGGTGTTTTGATGTACACTAGTCGCATTACATTCTAAACGTTTATCCGTTGGGAATGTAGTTTTTATCGTTTTCGGGTCGGTGTTGTGGCAATACGCCCTCTTGTTTGTACGTCACAGTCTTCACATGTCAACAGATATCCCAAATATTATTCTGACTTTGATGTTATTGTGATTCTTTTGTTTCCTTGTTTTTCACACGCTGTTCTCTCAGTCGCGAATGTAATAAAACTCGCATTTGTTTGTTCGGCGTGGCACAGTTTTAATTCTCGTTGTGAAATATAATCGAAGAAACACTTTTTACCAATCAAAAAAATCAATATTCGCTCCCTCCCTTTGCCTAACTTAAAATGATTAAAAATTGTAATTTTCCAAAAAGCCAAAAAAACACTGGGATCAGGATCAAAGAGTGTTTAAAAAACACATTGCAAACGCGATTTAATAGTTGGAAAAATAACGAAATTACTTGCAGTTTTCCTACAAACTTTGTTTCCTCGTTACATCTGTTTCTCACTTCGACCTTGACATTCTCGAAATTTATTAACCCCAAACTGACCCTTGTGTACCGAAACAGTGGAATTGAAATTTTTGTTAAAAAATGGTGGAGGCGCCGGGCTAATAAATATTTTGAAAAACAATTATTTAAAATATTTTGAAGACACTTCTAGTTGAAATAGTATAAATAAATCTGAGAAGAGACCAGAAATTTTTAGATGGGTTTAATCGACTTTAGTACTTTGAAAATAATGCGTTTTTCTCTGTTGCTTGAAGAACAACGGTGAAAATAAGCACAGTTTCGTAATCCTAACAAAATTATGTATAAGAATGATTTTTTTGCCGTCAAAGTAACCAACACCGATTTTTTTTAGGTAAAATCTTTGAAGGCACCGGGAGAGGATATATAAAAAAATATTTTAAAGCTGTTTGAAAAAGTGGCTTTCAGAATATTTTCTTTTGATGAATTTATAAATTTTTTTCACAATTTCATCATCTAACTTAATTAACAAGATCACCCCAAACTGGAACCGAAATTATACAAATCGTTTTTGAATCGATTTAATAAAATGTAATTCCTATTGAAACAAGTTCTTTTCTCTGTTGTTTTCTGAGATACAGTGAAAATAAGAATGGATTAGTGATACTCAGAAAATTTCCACCGGGAATGATACCGTTTTGTACCGAAACAGTGGAATTGAAATTTTTGTTAAAAAAAGGTGGAGACACCGGGCTAATAAATATTTTGAAAAACAATTATTTAAAAAAATTTGAAGACACTTTTAGTTGAAATAGTATAAATAAATTTGAGAAGAGGCCAGAAATTTCTTTAAATATCTTCAAATGTATTTAAAATAATATAGCAAACGCTGATTTGAACCGTAATAAATCCAGCTCTTTTTAGATGGGTTTAATCAACTTTAGTACTTTGAAAATAATGTGTTTTTCTCTGTTGCTTGAAGAACAACGGTGAGAATAAGCACAGTTTCATAATCCTAACAAAATTATGTATAAGAATGATTTTTTTTGCCTTCAAAGTAACCAAAACCGATGTTTTTCAAATAAAATCTTTGAAGGCACCGGGAGAGGATATATAAAAAAAAATATTTTAAAGCTGTTTGAAAAAGTGGCTTTTAGAATTTTTTTTTTTTTTGATGAATTGATAAATTTTTTTCACAATAATCGGAGAAACATTTTTTACCAATCAAAAAAATCAATATTCGCTCCCTCTCTTTGCCTAACTTAAAATGATTAAAAATTGTAATTTTCCAAAAAACCAAAAAAACACTGGGATCAGGATCAAAGAGTGTTTAAAAAACACATTGAAAACACGATTTAATAATGAAAGTTGGAGAAATAACGAAATTACTTGCAGTTTTCCTACAAACTTTGTTTCCTCGTTACATCTGTTTCTCACTTCGACCTTGACATTCTCGAAATTTATTAACCCCAAACTGACCCTTGTGGCGCACCAAACATTACTTGTTAAAAATGAATGCCCTTTTTCGCAGCAACAAAACCCTACATGTTTTTATGTTTCTCTTTAATATCCCAGCATAAAGTCAGCTCTGTTGCTGCATTTTTATTTATTCAATAGACATGAAAGCCATCCTTTTTTTACCGCTAGATAGAAAACCGCATCAAAATTAAACCAGCATGTATTTTACATTCGCGTTTCATTAAAACTCAGGATTAGCGACATTTAAATTAACAAGAGCAGGTAGAGTACCTCGCTGCAGACATAATTTATTAATAATTAACTAGCCGCTGCAGCGAAAATGACAATTTCGTTTGAAGAGCATTCAGTTTATTATCCGCCTTGACTAATCTAATCAAAATTAATACGACAAAACTTTATTTATAACCCAGAGGGTAGCATCTGAATTGATTGCCCCCATTATTTATATCGACACCCCACACAAGATTAGTCGAAAGGTCAGGCGGCGGAAGAAATATAAATTTTACTTTATTTCTTAGACAAGATTAAGTAAGAGCGAAATCAAGCTCGAGCTCGACTCTCCTTCATTGCACCTCCTCTAACTCGTTCTAATTCCGCACCAGAAAAATTGAATTAGCTCTAATTAATTGTAACACTGCTGAAATATCGCGGGGGCGCTGCAACTTCCTTTAGCTCCTTGTGTTTGTTGGAACTTTAGTAAGCCAGAAGTCACGAAATTAGATCAAACAACTAAACCTTTGAAGTCGCTCGTTTTATACCCTCGGAATGATAATTCAAATCGAGGGATATTTGCACACAGAAACAATAAAAGCCATTTTTAAAACTATTCGTTACGGTATTGATTTAAGAGGATTACTTTAGATTTAAGCTCGACCCGGCACCTCCGCCATTTTTCGATTCTTTCAGAAATATTTATTTTGCTAAATTTGCGTGTTCGTTGTTTGTTTCTCCCCGGGCAAAATCGTCGTTCCAAACAAACATTGTGGTAAAGAACCCGCTTATTTTTTTATAATTTGTCCGACAAATTAAACTCAACAATCGTCTCTTGTGTCACAGTTGAACGCTTCGAGGTGCGAATTTTCTTGCTGAATAAAATCGGGCTGATAATTCGCGAATTACAGCGAGGGCGATGAATTAATTTTGATGGAAGGGTGCGCTCGATGTTAACTAGCACGACTGAAATTCCGCTGAAAATATAGAGAATCCCATGTTTTATTGGTTGTTCCGAGCGTCGTAAAATCTATAAACTATCATTTGGGGCACTTATCCAGTCGGCCTAATTAATTTAACTGAGCTGTAACTAACAGTTGAATGTGTTTAAAGCAGTTTACTCGCACTCACTGCGAAAATTTAACATTTAGCAATAACATTGTGCGATTCTAATTAAGTCACATTTCAAATAGACCGATGTATCAAAGGGAAAGGTTTTGCTTTAAGGACATTAATTATACAGAAGTTGTTCTAGTGCTATTCACGGAACGTCTGACAAATTGGACCGAAATGTAGTGATGAAAGATGCTGTCTGCGACCAAGATAATCGATAGCATTCAGTGGTTCAAAGGTACTTTTTACACAAGGGCAATTAATTTTTAAGCGGAAACAAGATTTTTAATTTCCACTGCTAAACAAAGATAAATATTTGCAACATTCGAATTTCGCTTCCAATTAATACTGCTGTTAAATGTGAGCAATTTTGAAGAAAAAAGGAAATAAAACAGTACTAACAATAACAAACGGAATGAGTAAACAAAAACACATCTATAAACTCGTAGAACAACAAAGTATATTTTTGCAAAGCAACAAATTCATTTCATAAAGTAGTCGCGTCGTCGATTTATAAACACTTTTATGTTGTTTCTCAGCGACGTTAATTGCGATGGTACAGTTATTCTGTTTTTCCAGGCGACAACCCCCACTACAACGAATTCGACGCGAACAAGCCAGTGAAGACCGAAACTCACAACGCCATCAACATCCTGAACAACGTCCTCTTGCGCAAATCGGTCGTTTCCAAGCTGTCACGCTACGATTTGCTCTTGGGCGTCGTGAAAGCGGAAGCGTACTTCGCCTTCAACGGCGAAGACGTCCAATACGGGATCGAGGCCGACCGGCGCTCCAAGATCCTCCGCACTTTCGTCAGGAACACGTACAGCTATCACCTTTCCGAAATCCTGGCGACGATAGTTAATGAATACACGGATTGGGAAAGACCCGTTCAGCATCCGATCAATATCCGAGATGAGACTCTGGAAGCATTGTCGGATGCACAATACGTGGCACCGGTCGTGCATACCGCCGATCTGCATTCCGCCGAGCACAGGAACTCTTTTCTGTACGTCTTCGATTACCAGACCAAGGGCGGAGACTACCCGCAGGTAAGGAGCGTTGCGGTCGCACAAATGGCGCAGTCGGTAGGATGCGATTTTTTCAACCAAATCCGAATAGAAATCACGGCGCACATTATTTAGATAATCCTTGCAACAGCTAGAAAACTCGAGTGTGTTGCCCCTGAATAAATATTTTCGTAATAAATACAAAGCAAACTCGCGCTGCCAGTATATTCAAATTTCACCGAGTGCCCTCCGGCGAATTCGTCTCGTCTGGAAGAGAATCCATTCTCGTAACAACGCCTGGCCTCCGTTTTAATCCACATAATGCGCTTCGAAATGCATTTAGAACATTCTACAAACCCTTACACTACTAAAGCCGCTTTCTACGCCCACGACAAGAATTTCATCTGGCTTTGTTAAAAATTTCCGAACGCATTTATATCAGAGGGCCTTTGAAGACCTCGCATGATTAGTCGGCGCTCGCGCCAAATATTTTCGGCGCTTTTTTCCGCCTGTATTTTTAGCAAGCTCTGTCTCACACCTAATTGTTTCCCGTTTCCGCCCTACATAAATCTCGTATTATTCGTTGCGGATGTTCGCGCTGTGAAACAAAAACACATAAATCCGAAGAATTTCCATAACTGGAATCTAACCGCCGTGTTTCCGAAGTTTGGACATTAACGGTGGTAGCGACTGCATTCTTACCTTGCCGGCGGGGTGGATTTGGGTGCATTTGCGTTGATTCTTTCAGGGAAGAACCGAGGAAATATGATTTATCGCCGAAATTTGTAGGGGGAAGAAAAATGTGTTATAGCGATGTTTCAGCCGCGTCTGACCGAGTTTAGAAAAATGGATTCGGAGCGAAGACCTGCGGCGGGGTTGAGCCAAAATGCTCTTTTAATTATTGTTTTACGGGCCAGCGAGTTGCGAGCTCGGGAAAACCGACAAACAACCCCAAATATTTATCATTGAGAAAAAAGCTATGCTTGATTTTTTAAATAGGAAGCACTTGACCATCGAACACACATTTGACGCCATTTTTGTAATTACGCACTGCCCCATAACACTGTCATCCTTATGATTATGCCAGGTCAGGTCAGATGAAGCAAAGTCAGGTCAAGTTACGTTGTATGGTTAGTTTTATCAAAAACTTTAAATAACTTAAATAAAGTCAGCTTATGTTAAGTAAAAACAAGTCAGGTCACATTAAGTAAAGTCAGGTCAGATCAGATTAGTCAACATTTGATTAGTTTCCCTTTGAACTAAGAGAGCTTAAACTATAACAGAAATTTGTACAGTTTAAAATTACATTTTTTACATTTTTTCCTAATCTACATCACAAAGATTTTTTGTGTTATTTTTTTGGGACTCCCGAAACCCCCGTACATAACGTACCGAAGAGTTCATTTGCCATTTTCCAGAGACGGTATAAGTGATCAAAATGTAATAAAAAGAGACGATTTAAAAAACAACAAAAAGGAGATAGAAGGGGCCACGAAAAAAACGACAAAAACATGGCAAAAAGACCAAAAAAAAGTGAAAAAAGACACAAAAATAGCAGCCACCAAAAAATGGGAAAAATGGGATTTGAAGAATGAAAGTATAAAAAGTACCAAAAAAGGCCCAAAAAGCTACAAAAACTTGTCGGAGAACATTTAGCCGGTAGTTGTATTAATAAAATAATGTTCATTTTCGTTCGTGAGTAACGATGGTCCCTGTCAGGATATGGATTATTCTGCTTTTTAACATCTGGGGATTACCGGCATGCGACAACTTCAAATTGTAAATATCTCATGCTATTGTACTATTATGTGTCTCGTTATTGTCAATAATATTTTATAAATTAGAATGAAATTTCCAAAACTATACTAGTCCCATCCACCTGCCCTCTATTTTCTTAGAGAGATCTCATTAGCCAAAATCAGTCTTATCATAGCAAGTACTAACCCCGCCCACCCACCCTCTATTTTCTTAGAGGGTACGTCATTTGCCAAAATCAGTCTTATCCCAACTAGTAGCTACTAAGATAAAACTGATTTGAATGACACACCCTCTTAGAAAAGAGAGGGTGGGTGGGCGGGGCTAGTACCTGCTAAGATAAGACTGAGTTTGGCTAATGAGATACCTTCTAAGAAAATAGAGGGCAGGTGGGCGGGGCTAGTACCTCTATTTTGTTAGAGGGTTTTGCAAAAATTGATCTTAGATTAGCAGGTACTAATCCCGCCCACCCACCCTCAATTTTCTTAGAAGGTATCTCATCGGCCAAAATCAGTCTAACCCTGGCAGATACTAGGCCCACCCACCCACCCTCACTTTTCTTAGGGAGTATGTGATGTGCCAAAATAAGTTTTATCTTAGCAGATACTGATGATGACTGTTATGCTTTAATGAATTTTTCTTTTGTTGGTTTTGTTTTTGTTGTAATTGATAAAATGTTTTTTTGGTTTATTTGTTAATGAAAAATAACAGTTTGACATTATTAATAATAATGTAAAACCACTAATGACTACTGGTTGTTATCGTTATTGCCCGAAAAAAATAAAAGACGTATATATAATATGTAATAAAAAAGGCGATTAAAACGATAAAAAAAGGTGACAAGAAAAAAAAAATGATAAGAAATGTGTAAAAAGACGACCAAGAAATTTAAAAAGACCAAAAAAGACGACCAAAAAATTTAAAAAGGCCAAAAAGACGACAAAAGAAAACCAAAAAAAAAGTAAAAAAAAGGGTCACCAAAACGTGCGACAAGAAGTGGCAACGATAAAAAATGATACTGCAAAAATGAAAGTATAAAAAGTGTCAAAGAAAACAAAAAAACACGACAAAAAATAATGACAAAATATGTTATAAAAACGAACTAAAAGAAATCGTTGAAAAAAAAGACAACAAAAAAATGGCTAAGAAAATGCGATGAAAATACGTCAAAAAACTACTAAAAAACTCCAAAAAACTGGTATTGATTCAAATTAGAGTAAACAAATGAGAAAAAAAGATGAAAAAGAATCATAAAATCTAAAAAAATTGGTAACACAAACTATAACAGAAATTTGTACAGTTTTTTACATCATGACACTATTTGGGTAGGTAACAGAATTAAGCATGTCAATTTTGACAATAAGAAGTAAGCTATGCTACCGTTCTACCAATTTCAAGCATAATTTGTTCATATCAGCTGAAACTACTTGTTGATGACGTTGTACATTATTATCAGTACATGCTTAACTTTGACTTTTTATGTCAATACATCGATAGAATTTGACTATTAAGCACATACAGATGCTGGTTGACCGAAGAATCGGCAGCAACAGATAAAAAGTATGCAGTTGTGTTAAAAGAAAATGGAATTTGGTTGATTTTTGCCACCAAAAAAACAGAAAAACCATTTATCAATTAGGCTACAACATTATTTTGGGTAAGTAGGGTGGGGACCAACTTTAAATTTGAAAAGGGGGCTGTGAATTTTTAGTTAGGCCATTAAAATTTAAATCACGTCGTATCAGCAACACAATTTAATTACTCTAGAATAAACCTTCTAACGGTTCTTAGAATAGTTGAGTCTTTTCTTGTACCTCTGTGTACAAAAAGTTTTCTCAAAAACATCAAGTAACTGAAATCAAATAAAGCGCAACCGATCGCAAAATTAATTGCAATACACTCGGGTTCAGTATACACGATGATCAAATAGCAGCTAGCGACGAAAACTATCAAATCAATAACCCCAACCAAGTTAGAGTTTCCACTCCAATTACTTGCAACATGTCAGGTTATTCATCATCCTCGCGTACTTTTTTTCCAAATAGCTCCCCAACGTAAAATTCATAAAAATTTTGTTATATCAAGCCCGAGCGAACGACGATCAATTTCCTCTTAAACCCTCCCTGTAATTGACAATTCATTAAGCCCGCCAAACCCCTCCCACCGGCTTGAATAAAACCTCCACTTATTTCGGCAGCGACCGGTTTTCACTGGCGCCGCAAAGAAATTGTTTCGGTTAGATAAATGAAGTTTCCACCTTTGGCGAACAAAAACCCTGTAAGTGATGAATCCTGGCAATTATAAAGATTGAAGGTGTAGCGTCCTTCAGCCGACAACCGGATTGATTAGAGCCGAATCCTGCTGCGACTGCAGCGCCCTTGGCGCACCACTTTCCCGTTATTTTTCCTCGAGAGTCACTCGGCCGGAGGACGCTCGCAGGAATTTTCTGCGGAGTAATCCAAAAGATCCGTGAAGGTGAATAATTGTTTGTGACGAATATTACGAATCTGTTGCTGGTTTATTAGCGCTGAGCAAACACCCCGGCACTTTTGAAGTTTTCGCACTATCTCCATGGAAAATATTTGCCGTCGTCGAATTGAGTGCGGCGCCCTCTAGTGACTGCTCAGACTCGTAACGCCCACCTTAAGGACAACACGATTAGATGCGGCGGCGAGATATCAGTCGGTTTTACATGTCAAAGACGTGCCCGTAATGCATATTACGCGGCGTTGTCTGTTTGTTTTAGATATTACCTCGCATGTGGCACCTTCAGCCCTCTGTATAAAATATTCATGCGATAATGCGCAACCAGTACAGTTGTAGACAGACGTTTAACGTCGATTCCTCATTCGCGGCTCGGTTTGTTTGAAATGATAACATAAATATTACTTGTAGTCGTTGCCTAGATAACGCGCTTACGTTTACCCGCCCACGCGTCCTCTATTTATTTATCACAAACGCGAGGGGATAATTTATTATCTATAAGGGTTGCGTCGGCCGTAAATTATCGCGGATTTCCAATAATCCGGCGCGAAGGACCAGAAACATCCACCAAATCAAATAACCCGAGACAGCACAAACACTGTTGTGATTTCGAATTAGCGCTAGGGCTATTGATGGAGGGCCGATAAGAGACCTCGATTGGACGGTTCGCACGCCTTTACGGGAGTTGCCTCATTTTTTGTATAATTCAGCGATGCTGAGATGCTTTGGAGGGTCGGGCTTTTTTCGCTCGAGCCGGAATCAAGGCCGAAATGGGAATAAACCGACGTCTGGGGTTTGGAACG